GAGGCACGATAGCTCAATAAGCTTAAATAGTGCCTAGTTTTAACAAAATAAAATGTTCATGTCTTAGTAACAATTTTATAGAACATATTTGCTCTTTATTCAAAACTCTTAAAGTAATTTAAAAACGGCTTAAGTAAACATGCGTTTCGTAAGGAGGAATTCATTTATTTCAGTTTCAATATTAATTTTAAGAGGTCACATCAAATAGTATACTACGTAGAAGAAATTAAAATCATCGTATATCTGTCTTCAGATGATTCCAGTGTACGCTGAAGGCTGTGAGCTGACGGCCAACGTGCTCCTCTACATGGACCATCTCAAACAACACCAGGACAAGGAGCTGGAGATTAAATGTACGAGATGTGTGCTGAGATTCGTACGTCTCGGTGAATAATACAACTGTAAGTACTATAATACAAACAGATGAAACTAATATGTATTTTCGGACTGTTTCGCGTATTTTATTATTTAAAAAACTATTATATATACACCCGACGTTTCGGTTACTTGTCAGCAAACATGATTAAGGCAGACGAGTTGTCGGGAGTGTGGTGTTTTTAAAAATAATAAAATACGCAAAGTATTCCGAAAATATTACTTTCATTGAAATTAATACTCGCAAGTCTTAAATCTACTATATAAAAATAAGTCCGGTTTTCCTTCCTTACGCTATAACTCCAGAACGAACGAACCGATTTCCACGATTTTGCATTCGTTTGCATATTTTAAGTAGATGGTGCCGGTGCATGATACATTGTTTGACAGCTACTCATTGTTTTCTGCTCTGGTAATTTCATGTGACAAACCGGTATTGTGTTTGTAGTTTAAACTCTTAAAACCATTTAGTATTTGCGGGATAAATTTAGAAAATCATTGTTTTTCACATGGGCAGTTATACTTTGCGTGTTCAGGAGTTCGGAAACCATCCGCTTTATTTGTGTTAACGTTAGACCAAAAAACAAAAAATGTGGTTTACAAAGGACCACTTCAATGTAACGGATAATTTGCTGACACGTATAACGCTTCGATTCTACGGTATCTACTTTGGATTCACTTTTATTTACTTAGAGAAGTTCAACTAAATAACACTACATTTCTGTAATCGAAATGAATTCATTACTGTTGTGAAACGAAATTAAAATTTTCCTTTTCAAATATAAAACAATAAAAAATTCTTCATCTTTTAATCACCAAACGAAATGCTACATAAAACGAAGTCTGGTGACGAAACGGAGTCCGCCGGGTTTACTAGTCTCATTATACAATATAAATAAACGCTCACATCTCGTCTGTCCGTGATCACGGTTGCTGAAAAGTAGCCGAAACGTCGGGAGTATGTAGTTTTATCAAAAATCAAGTCGCGTAGTATATCCGAAAAATATTAGTTTCATTTACAATAAAATGAGTTCAATACACACATTAATACGTATAATATTTTTCAGGTCAACTGAAAGAGCATCAGATTCGAGACCACAACCCGTTCGAGGAGGTTCTACCTTTGTGTTCTACAGAGCACTTGATTAACCTGCCCAAGGTATGTACGTCATATAACTCTACTGCTAGTTTTATATACTGCTACTTATTTATCTACAATTAACAAACTGCAATTATATAATAATATATTATTTTCAGAACAAAGCCCGCCCTCCCATCAAGCACGTCGCGTGTCACGCCATCAGCGACACGTATGAAGGTGTCACGTTGGTCATACCAGTGGGTCTTCTGTGTCGCGAGTGTGACACGCCGCTTGACAGTGACAAACACTTCCTGTTAGTATAACCACTTGATAAAACGACGCTGCATACATTGAATACAATCAGATTTATTGAATGTCAGTAAAGAGACGTAGTTTTTTCTTTATCGTGTTAAAAACACTCATTAACTTTTACAAAAAAAATGTTATTTTAGTAGCCCTTATTATATTGTGATATCATCTGTTTAATATTTCTATATTTTCAAATGAAGAAAGATTAGATAAATAATATACCAAATGTTTAATACATACTAAAGTATAATTTTAATATTCTCAATATACAGCGGTCGCACGTCGCGCAGCAAGTGTCCATATGCTACATCATGTTACCGAGCGATGTTGAGACACAGTGGATATTGCGCCGGCTCACTTTCACTGGAGGCCGCTCCTAGACCCGCTCCCACGCTATACTGCGTCTGCGAATACTCTACAGATATAAGTCAGTTTACACTGGTTATAGGATATCAATCAATATAATATATTTTCATTTTCTTTTATAAATTTTATAACGAACTATGTAACTATTAGACCAGCAGCATATATAGATCAATACAAAATATACAATTAACCAATGACTATAGTAACTAATAAAATATTAAGATTTTAATCCCCAGACGGCATCGTTAAATTAAACAAGTAGTATTAACAGATTTTATTGCGAAGATTTATTATGAGTAATGGGAAAGAAGAAACAATACGCATTAACTTTCGCGACGCAAAAATTGTATACAGTTCGTAAATATTGCCATTACGTATAAAAAACTTTGTTGTTCTGATATAATATTACTCCAGGCACGGACATTCTATCTCATCTCCTCGTGACACAACACACAAGCGCGTACTTAACTGAGGAACTTGCACGAGCCAACACCGTCAGGGAAGAACCAAAACCTGCTGATGAAGTAGAGCCTGTGAGTATCTACTAGTGATTACTCATACTGTTTTGCGATTATATTATAATATATTAGCACATTGTTTATATATTTAATGTTTTAGATTGTGGAGAACATGCCGGCTATCCCAGATTACGCTCCCCCATCGGTCATCAACACTCAGCTATCTCTAGATGATCTTGCCCCACCTTCAGTTTTACAACCTGATCAGGTGTGTACTATGCTCATAGGGGAGAAATATAATTTAAATTAAATAAACAAATAATTTATATTACATATTTTTTTTAAAGCATGATCAAGAACTCCTGAAAGACGCATATGACCACCCTCTGGCAACACCGAGACACGAAGAACCTCACAACACACTCGGAGACTTTGAACCCTTGCCTCAAGAGCCACCTCCCCAAACAGACTTTGAACAACTGTAATCTTATATATTTAGATAGATCTTTATCAGATAATAGTCTTATGTCAAGTGATACAAATTTATTGGTTCTAAATAAATGGAAATGAAATGTATGAAAGATTCCAGCTCATAAAGTAAGCATTATTTAGCTGTGTATGACCTATGTAACATATCTAACTGTAAGAACATTGTCAGTTTTGAATTATTTAAGAAATATTATAAAGGAACTTAATGGGGATCAAAAACGGCAAATAGAGTCATAATAATGGAATTTCAAAAGAGTATGTATCAATCACTATTAAATTAGATTTTGTTGAGGAAATAGAGAAAAGGATAATTTAGTCAACAACATTTATTAATATTTTATATATTTCTCTCCATTATAGAAATGTATTTATATTTTTAATATAGTAAGTAAAACATGTTTAGTGATGTTAAAATAAAAAGTTACATTCATCTTGGCTTTCTTCTAATTTTTATAAATGTTTATCACTTTATTGCTAACTCCATAATCTTCTATCTTGCTGTCATCTTTGTCAAGTGTTAAGCTGTCGTAATTTCAACTCTTTCATATATACCTCCAAGATATCTTGATTCTGTTACCCATCCTTTGTTGATATAATTCAAAGTGTTTTTCAATATCTCTCTTTAGTTGCCTCACTGTTGAATTTTGCGGAACCTACACAAACGTACACGATACTCATCGACTCTGTGCCTTGAAAGCTCGAACAGAAACAACTGTACTAATATCACATAAATTATACAGATTCTTGAGACAATATCCATTGCAGCTGTTGAAAGTTCAATGTATTCTGTAGTAAATAAAAATAATTAATAATAGTTAAAAAACACGCTTTTATAGCAGACCGGAAAATTTAAAAATAATTTTTAATAACAAAGAGTTTATATTACCGTAGCAGAAGGTTAAACAATCAATCATAGTAAATTACTTCAAAATAAAATGATAATAGAATTTAAGTTAGGAACAGAATTATTACATTCAGAGTTAGAAGCGTGGGGTGCTTGACATATTAAAGGTAATAAATGCAATCATTCTATTGGCATCTATGAGTGGAGAGTTATGGAAAAGTAGTAAAATGTTTAAAGGAAGTAACGCCGCCACAACTCATAACCTCTTACCAGGAGAACATAAAGCCTAGCGGGTGATGTTAGACTAATAGTCCAGTCAAACTAGACAAAAATAAGTCATAACTTAGCCAAAATTCGCATAGAGCTGAAAATTGCCACAGACGTTAAATACATCATTATAAATGAAATATCAAAAATCCCCTTCGATCCTACTTCTGCAAAAAATTTTATTCAAGGTCAAAAGTATAAAATTAAGGTTTTTTCCATTTTTCTCGAAAACAGTAAGTATTATCGTAAAAATAGGTCGGACAAAAGTTGTAGATCATACAATTCTCTACAAAAATGGTCGAGTCACTTTTTCTTTTACGACTCACCATTCGTGAGATATAGCGGTTTTAATCATTAGAAAATTCATATTTTACATACCTAATATGCATTTAAATGCAGCTTGTATACGTCACCGGACGTTCAATATAAATGAAAATAAGAAACTATTCGTTTGTGTTACTTACAAAATAAAACTTGTATAAATTAAATGAGGATTTTAAAATATAAGACAATACTGTCAGTACCTAATTCCCTTCGTCGGTAACCTTGAGTAAGATGTTGATTTGTGATATTACTGACTGCACGGACTCCAAATGATAAAATTATTTACTTTTTAAAACCTGGGAAAGCACAAGTACATTCAACAATATATTTATCACAAAGTCTGACTGCACATCCGAAATGTCAAGCTCATATTTTATTTTTACATGCAATAAGGTACCCGCGGGTATTAAGGCCTGTCGGTTAATAAGGCCTAAGTGACAAAAATCGTACGAAATATAACAGTTGACGATCAAGGTTACACTCACACATGCATAGCGCGTGTACACGTCGCTGCGAAGCGGCGGACGCGCTCTTTCGTTGGCCACGGCGCCAGCGTCGTCGAAAACATTTTGGGGAGCGGTCGCGCGGCCGGAATTATAAAAATTGGCTCCAGCAAAACGTAAGTAAATTTTGTAATATCACAGTTACATACCTGCATTGACTGTCTGTTCGTTAATTATTTTATGCTTGCACCTACCTTACCATATTAAAGGGTGTATCGTATTCAAAAAAATATTTGTTTTGTTTTTTGTAAGCACGCGGTCGGCGGATATTAAGGCCTATAAAATTTGACTATAGGCCTTATTATACTCCTACTTTTTTAAACTGGTTATACCAGAAACAGCTATACCAGAAACAGCTTATACCAGAAACAGCTTTTGCTCCTTCAGTTTTAACGGAAGCTCCAGCACCTGATGACCACCAAGAGAACGTCCCAGCTCTCGATTATCCTCGAGCACAAACTCCAGAATGCGGAAATACAACACCTACTTTTTTATCAGAAGCCTCAACACCTGATCTTGACCAAGAAAATGTACCACCTATTGATAATCAACAACGGAAGACTCCAGAATCTAGTGATAGATCACCATCAATTTTGACACAGATACCAATATCTGATGTTCTGCGAGGAAATATTTCACCTGTTGATTGTCTTCGATCAACGACTTCAGAACAAGCTTATCAATCACCAGCTATAGCATCAACTTCAACAGGGCAAATCTCAAGAGTGCCAACCATGAAACGCAGCTATTATCGTACAATTTATGGTACAAGCTCGAGTTCAGACGCATCTGATGATTTGCCTCTGAATCAGAAAAAAGATATGAATTTTATGATCTCCTGCCTACGCCTGCTAAAGATCAAACAAAAACACCGACTCTCAGGCAAAAAGCCATTAATTATAGAGGCACTTCCGTCACAAAAGATCTGTTTGATAAATATCATGAAGAGAAAAAAAATCGTAAGGTAATGAAAGATAACAAAAAAAAGGAAACCAAGCAAGATGAGAAACTAAATGAAGGAAAGAAAGATAGAACAGAAAAAAAGAAATCTAAAAAGACTTCAAATCCAAAGAAAGCTAAAACAGTATCGGCAAAAAAGTCTACCACCATCAAAGGTACTTCACAAAAGCAAGTGAGCTGGTACTGTCATGCCTGCGAAGAAGACAGAATGGATGATGCAATGAGACAATGCTCGCAATGCTTCAAGTGGTATCATGAACAGTGTGTCGGTTTGTCGATGGAAGATACTGATGACTTTCAGTGTCCTGGTGGATGCGAATAGAGGCAATTTATTTAATTTTCTAAGACCATTTATATTCCTATTACTTTATTTGTATGATTATTGATGTCAAAAATACCAATTTATAAAGTTTAAGTTGATTTTTCGATAGTTTAAACTATAGGCCTTTTTACCCTCCCTTAGTATAATAAGGCCTACAGAGAGAGTTTTTAAAAAAGTTAAATATTCTTTTAATTTTAAGCAGAAGTTGCTATTTTTTGTTAAAACTTTGTAGTTATTTAAGTAAATGACTGATTACTAATAAAACTTGTTGATTATGATGGACACTTTTCATTTTATCACAAATTTCCCTTAGCTAGGCCTTAATACCCCCAGGTACCTTAATTGGTTGCGATACTACATCAGCCATTTTTAAAAGAGGTAAAACATCAGTATTTAAATTGTTTGAAAAACCTAATGATTTAATTCATTGCTCAAAAGTATTCACAAAGATTGACTCTTCTCCACACGACATCGTTACAAATGGAATTTGTTTTCTTCTTGCAATGTATGGCGCTCAAAAAAATTGATTCCATAGACAAATACAGATATTTGAAGTTTGTAAAATCTGCATGGAACAATAAAACAGTACAGTTGTCTTGTCTGCCTCCAACATCTGCTTCTGCCTTTCATCACTTGTATCGTGTGTATTATCAAGTTCAAGTGTGGCTAGGCAATGAGCTGGACCCAGAAGAATGGGGTTGGAAATTAACAGACAAATATTTGGAGCCAATTCAAACTTTACTCCCGCCTGCTCCAGAAAAACTACTTAATACTATTTTTTGTAAATGCAAGACGGATTGTAGTAAGAATTGTGGCTGTCAAAAATTAGGATTATTTTGTTCGCCAGTATGCAAAAATTGTCAGGGTCAGGCTTGCTCCAACATTGAAACAAATACAACAGATGATGTTTATGACATTTGATGCATCCCTTTTCTTAGAACAGCGAACAGAAATTCTGCAAGAAGAAGAGAATGAAGACGAAGAAATAGTTGTTGAAGTAGAAATAGACAATTATCTTATATAATGATGACATGTAGAAAAAAACAACCTACCTATTCCACTGTAATCATTAGCAATATTACTATTCTTTCAATTAATAGGATACGATCTGATCAAACTTTCTTTATTACAATAGATCGTGGAGTATACCTACTGGGGAAACCACGTTAAAAAAAAATGCGCAAAGTACATTACCTCATAGGTGGTGCGGAAATGTGTGCTATTATGTAAAATATGAATTTTCTAATGAATAAAACCGCGATATCTCATGAATGGTGAGTCGTAAGAGAAAAAAATACTAGACCATTTTTGTAGAGAATTGTATGATCTACAACTTTTGTCTGACCTATTTTCACGATAATACTTACTGTTTTGAGAAAAATGGAAAAATCCTTAATTTTATACTTTTGACCTTAAATAATTTTTTTTTACAGAATTAGGATCGAAGGGGACTTTCGATATTTCATTTATAATGATGTATGTAACGTCTCTGGCAATTTTCAGCTCTATGCGAATTTTGGCTAAGTCAAATGTCTATTTTGACTGGACTATAAAGGATGAAATTGAAAGTAAAGCATAATACATATCTGTTTGTAGGTGCTTTTTATTATAGTAAAATCGACTGCGAAAGGTTTTGGGGAATTATGAGTTTATGACCATTTAAAGAATCCTATTTGATACATAATTCTTACCACATCTACATATTTTATTCATCAGTAAAATGAAAACTGTTTTCTTTATTATAAATTCACTCTATGGTAGATATTTCTTTGAATTAAATCCATTTTCATAACATAGTTTATGATGTATATAAATCCCAGAATCTATATCCAGAGGCTTATTTAAGTGTATCAAGAATATTTATCTTTTGTGAGTTAATAACATGGTCGCGTACAAAAGACATTGTACATAGTACTATTTAGAATATCATGTTGTTAGATATTTAATCATGTCGTAATATTATCCAAATAAATATATCCTATTATTATCAGTCCAATCTTATATTGTATGAATATATGTATTATTCAATGTCAATGAAATATTTTAATATTGAAAAATCTAAATCGTAGGTTGTACAAAATCTGGATCTCTTTAAAAACTGTTTGTACATAAGTTTAACATACATTTCTCGTTTTATATGTATATTGTATATACACAAATACATACATTACATATAAACACACATGTGGATATTGTGTAAATAAGTTCTGTTTGTGTCCGTAACGTCATGTAAGATCAATGTACTCTTCTTTCGTAGCATGCTCTTAGCAGATCGTAGTATGCTGCTTTTGCTTTATGAACACCTGGTCCTTCATATTATGAAATAAACGTGATCTTCAAGAATAAATTTGTTCCATACAAAGCCAAGAAAGAAACTCCGAAGAGCTCGTAAAATAATTTTAGTGTGAAGATGATTCTTTTAATTTAGCTAAAAAGGTTTTTTTATTTTTACATAAACCGTCATGTGGGATGTACTTACCTCATTTGATTTTGAAATTTTTAAATATTTTTCTAACTTAAAATTGAATAGAAAAAAGGCAGAGTGATTACAACCGTTGTTTTTTTTTTGTTTGCTGGTGGGGTGCAACCCCGACACAACCCATAACATTTTACCAGGAGAACATAGAGCCGAACAGGTGACGGCCCGCTGGGGATAGAAAATTAAACTATCTGTATAAATTACATTCAATTTGTGTATAGGAATGGTTGTTTTGTTATGTACGCGTGTTCTTGTGGGTTAAACCAAAAGTAATAGAATTTCATAAAAAAACTATCACCAGTCAGCGATTTTCGGAATATGTAATCCTAAGCTAGAAATATTAATTCAAATAACATTACAACTTATATTCATTTCCTATGCTAGTTTTTAGAAATTCACGAAACAGAACTTAGAACAACTTGTCTATCGATATAAATGTTCCAGCTTTTAGTTGGGTTGAGTTGAGCTTAACACTTGACAAAGATGACAGCAAGATAGAAGATTATGAAGTTAGCAATAAAGTGATAAACTTTTACAAAAATTAGAAGAAAGCCAAGATGAATGTAACTTTTTATTTAGTATAACTTAACATCACTAAACATGTTTTACGTACTATATTAAAAATGAAAATACATTTCTATAATGGAGAGAAATATATAAAATATTAATAAATATTGTTGACTAAATTATCCTTTTCTCTATTTCCTCGCCAAAATCTAATTTAATAGTGATTGATACATACTCTTTTGAAATTCCATTATTATGACTCTATTTGCCGTTTTTGATCTCCAGTAAGTTCCTTTATAATATTTCTTGAATAATTCAAATCTGACAATGTTCTTACAGTTAGATATGTTACATAGGTCATACACAGCTAAATATTGCTTACTTTGTGAGCTGGAACCTTTCATACATTTCATTTCCATTTATTTAGAACCAATATATTTGTATCACTTGACATAAGAATATTATCTGATAAAGATCTATCTAAATATATAAGATTACAGTTGTTCAAAGTCTGTTTGGGGAGGTGGCTCTTGAGGCAAGGGTTCAAAGTCTCCGAGTGTGCTGTGAGGTTCTTCGTGTCTTGGTGTTGCCAGAGGGTGGTCATATGCGTCTTTCAGGAGTTCTTGATCATGCTTTAAAAAAAATATGTAATATAAATTATTTGTTTATTAAATTTAAATTATATTTCTCCCCTATGAGCATAGTACACACCTGATCAGGTTGTAAAACTGAAGGTGGGGCAAGATCATCTAGAGATAGCTGAGTGTTGATGACCGATTTGGGAGCGTAATCTCGGATAGCCGGCATGTTCTCCACAATCTAAAACATTAAATATATAAACAATGTGATAATATATTATAATATAATCGAGAAACAGTATGAGTAATCACTAGTAGATACTCACAGGCTCTACTTCATCAGCAGGTTTTGGTTCTTCCCTGACGGTGTTGGCTCGTGATAGTTCCTCAGTTAAGTACGCGCTTGTGTGTTGTGTCACGAGGAGATGAGATAGAATGTCCGTGCCTGGAGTAATATTATATTAGAACAACAAAGTTTTTCATACAGAATGGCAATATTTACGAACTGTATACATACTGTATTCTTGCGTCGCGAAAGTTAATACGTATTGTTTCTTCTTTCCCATTACTCATAATAAATCTTCGCAATAAAATCTGTTAATACTATGTACTTGTTTAATTTAACGATGCCGTCTGGGGATTAAAATCTTAATATTTTATTAGTTACTATATGTAGTCATTGGTATATTATATATTTTATATTGATCTATATATGCTGCTGGTCTAACAGTTACATATATATATATATATATATATAATTTATAAAAGAAAATGAAAATATATTATATTGATTGATATCCTATAACCAGTGTAAACTGACTTATGTCTGTAGAGTATTCGCAGACGCAGTATAGCGTGGGAGCGGGTCTAGGAGCGGCCTCCAGTGAAAGTGAGCCGGCGCAATATCCACTGTGTCTCAACATCGCTCGGTAACATGATGTAGCATATGGACACTTGCTGCGCGACGTGCGACCGCTGTATATTGAGAATATTAAAATTATACTTAAGTATGTATTAAACATTTGGTATATTATTTATCTAATCTTTCTTCATTAGAAAATATAGAAATATTAAAAAGATGATGTCACAATATAATAAGGGCTACTAAAATAACATTCTTTTTGTAAAAATTAATGAGTGTTTTCAACACGATAAAGGAAAAACTACGTCTCTTTACTGACATTCAATAAATCTGATTGTATTCAATGTTTGCAGCGTCGTTTTATCAAGTGGTTATACTAACAGGAAGTGTTTGTCACTGTCAAGCGGCGTGTCACACTCGCGACACAGAAGACCCTCTTGTATGACCAACGTGACACCTTCATACGTGTCGCTGATGGCGTGACACGCGACGTGCTTGATGGGAGGGCGGGCTTTGTTCTGAAAATAATATATTATTATATAATTGCAGTTTGTTAATTGTAGATAAATAAGAA